CACCACCAAAATAAAAACCATAATAATAATAATAATAACAACAACAACCAACCAACCAACCGCAACAGGCACGTAAAGAAGATAACTTATTCAAAGTTGTGGAGAAACCTAACACACCATCATATGAGGCCGACAGGCAGAGAAACATAATACAGCATCATCGAGGTAGTTACTTGTCTGGTGAAAGTTACACCACACTATGCCATCTCCAGATCATATTTGGATTTACAACTGGTAACACCGGTATGAGCATCAGACTGGGTAGTCACACCCACGCTGGGTATTCTTCACTAGAAAGGCTAATGTTCTCCTGACTCCATACGCATAGGTGCTCCTGAAGCCCAAAAGAAAGAAAACATAAGCACAAAGGGCAGAAGTGAAACTTATGCTCGAAATTCTGGATTTTAAACAAAAAATGCACAGAAAAAAGAGGAAAAGAACACTGTATAAGACTTCAGTGATGAGTATTTGGAGAGGGAGAAATTTAAATAATTCCTTTAGAGTAGAAAAATAGGAAATTGCACCTTCATAAAGATAAGTTGGAATTCACACCCTCAGAAAAGAGAAGGAAGCACGCCACAATCAAATAAATTATTAGTTTTCAATCAACATAATTTAGCTTTCATTCTAATTACATCAAACTCTTTCATAAGAGACTCAAATCTCAATCAACTTACAAATCGATGAACTCTAATATAGAAATCTCAATCAACTTTCAATTAGATAAAGTCTAATATAGAAATATCGATCAACTTATAAATAGATAAAGTCTAATATAGATCAACTTTGACCAAGTGAAGCTGCCATTTAATCTAACACTGAATATCAAAGAGTTTCGCTCCAAATCCACTCGGAAGTCATAAGTATGTGTCTGTGCACGCACATATCTATGTGTAGGCCTACATCCTTCACAGAGAATTTGATCCAAATACTTCATATTAGAATTCAATGTCGGAGCATCCATTTTTATACCTGTTTGTTAAAAATTTGTAGTAAAAAGAATGAAAGAAAATTTGATTTGTATTCCCTCGATCTCAATTACAATTTGGATTCCGATTACAAAAGAGAGGAGAACGAATTTGATTCTCCCCTTTGTTTAAAACTGGGTTCTTCTTGGTAGCGATGGAGTGCCACATTCGATTGCTTGCGTCGAATTTGCTCTCCGTTGACGATCCGATGTTTTACTTCACTGGAACGATGTCCTCTCCTCACGATTTGACGTTGTGGAGAACTTGCGTGGCAAGTTTTAGAACTCTGAACGAGTTTAGAAGAACTCTGTAAAAGAGTTGATTTGAACAAAAAGTTCGGTTGATAAGCCAAGGTGAAAGCTGTTGCTCAAGGATGCTTCAAGATCTTCTTGTTGCCAAGTATCTCTCTCCAACCAATCTCCTCCAAAGCCTGCCCAAGGATCTCTTCTGCTGCTACCCAACCGAGAGCCAAATCCCCTCTGCTCGAACCCTTGAACTGAATTAATTTTCAGTTATTTATAGAGGATTAAAGAGGTGTAACTACCCCTTAAATCACTCCTAAGTGGGGTGTAACTATCCTCCAATCATGGAAAACGGTTTTGAAACTGTTCACGGGTTTAAGGGGTGTAATTCCCCCTAAAATAGCTTCATAATAGGGTGTAACCGTCCCCATTAAGTGGAGATACGGTTTTAAAACCATTCAGGTTCTGTTTGAACCAGTCAAACATAAAAACGCGGGTCTGACCCTAACGTTTTGATGTTGCAACGCAGGTTCGACTCCGGCGTTTTGATGTTGCAACGTGGGTCCAACCCCAGCATTTTAATGTTGACACACGGGGAGGAACTCCGCGTTTTGGTGTTGATGTGCAGGGATGACCTCTGCGTTTTGGTCTTAGAGCGCAGTGATGAGTTCCGCGTCTTGCTTCGAAGAGATTATCAACAAGTAATCTCTTTTGTCATAGCGTTGCAAAGATCATTGTCTTGTAATCTTCATCTTGGCTCCTTGAGAATATGTGAGTCGTCAGATTGTAACTCTCGATGTTGATTGTGAATGCTGTTGATTAGAGCTTTCATCAATTGTTGTGAAGGTCGTCAGATTGTAACCTTCATCAACCTACGTAAAAGTCTTCAAATTGTAACCTTCTGGAAGTCGTCAGATTGTAACTTCCATCATTGGTGTTTTGATGAGGATCAGCTATCTATTGTAATTTTTAGACAGCCTACAAAACCGCTTCCAAAGTTTTCGAAAGTTCGCGGTTGACTAGGACGAATTTTCGGAATACTTTGGATCTCAACTCTGATCTTGGAGCTGTTGATTCCTTGTGGTAAAGGATTTGTTCTCTGCACTTGCTTTGAAGGCATCTTGGTTGGAGGGATTTGCCACGTAGGACCTGTGTGAAGGTATGCGCCATAATCCTGCTTCTGGAATACGGGGGTGGACCCTGCATTTTAAACTTGAGACGCGGGTCTCACCCTTGCATGTTGAATTTGGAGCATGGGTGTGACCTCGACTTTCGGTTTTTGCATCGCGGGTCTGACCTTAGCGTTTTAACTTAAGACATGGAAGTGGCTTCCGTGCATTTTTGACTAAGTTTTTGAGACTTGTCTTTAGCTCATCTGTTTCAAGTCTCGACTCACATCCATTTAGCTAATGGACTTACGAACATGCATAGGATTTTTGACAAACCCTCAGCCATCAACGGATTTGATAAGCCTTTACCGACTACCGTTTGAGTCGGGCTAGCATGTGAATTATTTGAATCCGTTTCACATGTAACGTTGTGCTAAGAGATTGAACCCTCTTAGACTTGATGCTATGATTTTGAATACATAGACTTTATTATTTTTACGAAAAAAGACTAACCGGCAACGCGTATTAGACGTTGACTTATCCCTACTTAGGATTTGGGATAAAATTCCCCATACATGCGAGGTATGGATTCAGAGATTATTAATTTAATGATAATCACTGGCTACGATATTAAATACGTAGACTTTTATCATTTTTACGATGAAAGACTAACCGGCAACGCGTGTTAAGCGTTGACTTATCCCTACTTAGGATTCGGGATAAATTTCCCCATGCGTGTAAGGCATGGATTTTAACGTTATTAATAACGACCTGCTACGATGTCGAATACGTAGACTTTTCTCCTTTTTACGGTGAAAGACTAACCGACAACGCGTGTTAGGCGTTGACTTATCCCTACTTAGGATTCGGGATAAATTTCCTCATGCGTGTAAGACATAGATTTTGACGTTATTAATAACGACCCGCTACGATATTGAATACGTAGGCTTTGTCATTATTTCTTTGACGTTATTAATAACGACCCGCTACGATATTGAATACGTAGGCTTTGTCATTATTTCTTCCTGTGTTATTTGAAACACTGAAAGAAAGTTAGAAGCGTCGGATGTGTAATATTAACTTGGCATGAATTTCCACTTAGAATGAAATTCAGAAATTTTTTTATTATCACTAGGATAATTCCAGAAAATATTTAATCCGCTAGGGATTTTATAATAAAAACTTGCTATTCTTGTTGAAAAGAGATTAACAAGTTCATTGGGGGATTTGACTGTTAGAGGTGTAATGTTAACCTAACAGTATTTTATTGGCTTATCATTCTATTGAAGAGAGTCGATAAATTGGTTTGATCGTCAGAGGTGTGATGTTAACTTAACTAAAATTTATGGACCTATCACTCTATTAAGGAAAGTCGATAAGTTGATTTTGTCAGAGGTATGATGTTAACGTGACAGGAATGTGTTGCGATCGGAACAACTTTGTGGACTTATCATCCTATTAAAGAGAATTGATAAGTGGGTTGTCAGATGTATGATGTTAACGTGACAGGAATGTGTTACGATCGGAGCAACTTTGTAGACTTATCATCCTATTGAAGAGGATTGATAAGTGGATTGCCAGAGGTATGATGTTAACGTGACAGGAATGTGTTGCGATCGGAGCAACTTTGTGGACTTATCATCCTATTAAAGAGGATTGATAAGTGGGTTGTCAGAGGTGTTTGATATTAACGTGACAAGAATGTGTACTTGTGACTTGCACAAGGCCTTGTCTGCGACGATTTGAGTCAACAGGGCCATAAGTTCATTGATGGCCTCCTGCTGAGATTTGAGCATGGCCTCCTGCTCGTCAAGTCTCTTCGCGAGATCTTCATGATTTCCCATCATATAAGCGGAGCTCTCTGTAGGCGTCAAAAAATGCTGAAAGATATCCAAATATAGCTCAAGAGGAAATCATCCAAAAAGGCAGAAGAACACAAGTCTTGACTGTCTCGCCGTGCGAGACAGACTTGACTGTCTCGCCGCGCGAGACAGATCCCCTCTCGATTCGTTCCATGAACGAGAGGTCCACAAATTGAACGATCAAACCTTTAAACAGTTAGGATCGTCTCAAATTCCCATCTTGGTCAAACCTTTAAACAGTTAGGACCAAAGCCAAAATCCCCTCTCGATTCGTTCCATGAACGAGAGGTCCACAAATTGAACGATCAAACCTTTAAACAGTTAGGATCGTCTCAAATTCCCATCTTGGTCAAACCTTTAAACAGTTAGGACCAAAGCCAAAATCCCCTCTCGATTCGTTCCATGAACGAGAGGTCCACAAATTGAACGATCAAACCTTTAAACAGTTAGGATCGTCTCAAATTCCCATCTTGGTCAAACCTTTAAACAGTTAGGACCAAAGCCAAAATCCCCTCTCGATTCGTTCCATGAACGAGAGGTCCACAAATTGAACGATCAAACCTTTAAACAGTTAGGATCGTCTCAAATTCCCATCTTGGTCAAACCTTTAAACAGTTAGGACCAAAGCCAAAATCCCCTCTCGATTCGTTCCATGAACGAGAGGTCCACAAATTGAACGATCAAACCTTTAAACAGTTAGGATCGTCTCAAATTCCCATCTTGGTCAAACCTTTAAACAGTTAGGACCAAAGCCAAAATCCCCTCTCGATTCGTTCCATGAACGAGAGGTCCACAAATTGAACGATCAAACCTTTAAACAGTTAGGATCGTCTCAAATTCCCATCTTGGTCAAACCTTTAAACAGTTAGGACCAAAGCCAAAATCCCCTCTCGATTCGTTCCATGAACGAGAGGTCCACAAATTGAACGATCAAACCTTTAAACAGTTAGGATCGTCTCAAATTCCCATCTTGGTCAAACCTTTAAACAGTTAGGACCAAAGCCAAAATCCCCTCTCGATTCGTTCCATGAACGAGAGGTCCACAAATTGAACGATCAAACCTTTAAACAGTTAGGATCGTCTCAAATTCCCATCTTGGTCAAACCTTTAAACAGTTAGGACCAAAGCCAAAATCCCCTCTCGATTCGTTCCA